AGGAGGGAGAGAAGATTTCACTCACTCCCTTCACCCCCAGGCAATCAGGGTCTGTGGGCGGAGAAGCAAGGAAGTGTCCTGGCCCAGCCCCTTCTGCCTGAGGCCCCACCCACTCTGTCTAAAATGACCGCCTACTCTTGTCCTAGACCCTTGAGGTAATTAGCCTGGATGTTCAGTCTTTGTCTGTCAGTGGCAATTTCATGGCTCCACTGAAGCTTCTGGAGACCACATGATTGCAAAGCATACTGTAGCATTCCTGGGACCTTATGCTCTTCCCTTCTCAATGTGTCCATACCAAGAAAGCCACCAAAACTGAATCAGCAATGATGGAGGTGGTGGTTGTGTTCGGCTCTGAGTATCCTTATTTCTGACCTTGACTTGACACTTAGTACTGAGCAACTGCTGAAGAATCAAAAATGTCCATCTGCCACTCTGAAGTTTTCCTCATTGCTCACCTTTCGTTACCATGAAGAAAGAGTTAGTACAGCTGTGATTCTCTAGAGCCAAGCTTTCTAGCTAACTTGACAGGATGTCCCCATAGAGGCCTCTCAGGGCCCTGAAACATGGCAGCTGCTGCTCTTTAAGTGTCCATATTCTGTTGAGTATCCTTCAGCACTGTCCAAATGTTGTCATCTGCTCAATTTCCCAGCTGGACAGGTTACTCCTGAATTGGTTGTAATCTGGAACTGGAGGCTGCTTGATGTTAATAGCAGCTGGGAATGTAATTTTTTAAAAATAATTCTGGCCCGAAATGGGGTTGAGCAAGTTAGCCCCAGCTGTGTCCCACGTACACAGCCAAACCTTTTCTAATGTGGCTGTTTTATAGGTAACTTCTAATAGATGGGAAGCTTCTTTGTTTTACATTTTTTAAATAAATGGCAAAAGGGATATTTTCAAAATTAGACTTGACCTAGCTAAGGGCCTGTGATACATCTCGAGGGAAATATAGAAAGAGGAGAAAAGATTCTAACTGAATCCCTTAGCATCACATCACATTTCTATTTTATTATATACTAGAAAATTTACCTGGCATTGCTTGGGTTCTTAACTCAGTTTTTTAAAAATAAAATGTACATGCTTCATTTAAATCATTGCTATGGAGTGGGGACAGAGAGGTTCAGTATGCAGGATGCCCCAGGGAGAGAGCACTACCCCAGCCATCTCTCACCGCAGCAGCTTGGGGCCAGGTGAGAAACGCTTCTCCATAGTCACTGCAGTTCCAGAGGGCACAGCCAAAGGAGGGGTGCATGTCTCCCCGCTGGGGCAGGTCTAGGTTCATCTGCCCCCTGTGCTCCCCAGTCAGAATGAGAAATGCACTTCAAACTGTGCACTTTCCCCTCACTCCCTGATGAAGGGAAACAGTCAGCAATGTTCCTGTATGAATCATGTGGAGAGGGGGGGAAGAGCTTCAGCCCCCACCGTCCTTAAAGGGTGCTCAGAGTGTGGGAATGACATGGACAAATTGGAGAAGGTCCAGAGAAAAGCAACAAAAAATAATTAAAGGTGTAGCAAGCATGATCTACAAGTAAAAATTGAAAAAAATGGGTTAGTTTAAACTGTATAAGAGAAGACCCAAGGAGGATATAATAGCAGCCTTCAAGTACATAAAAGATTATTATAAAGAGGAGGGTGATAAATTGTTCTCCTTATTTGCTGAGAACAGAACAAGAAGTAATAGACTTAAATAGCAGCAATTGAGGTTTAGGGAAGACATTAGGAAAAACTTTCTAACTGTAATAGTAGTTAAGAACTGGAACAAATTTGGGGAGGTTGTGGAATATGTTGTGGGTTTTTAAAGACAGACGAGACAAACAGCAGCACCTCACAAACTATCTTTTAACTAGAGGATCATGGTCAGAATAGAGCCCTGAACATGTGAGCCAGACCTTTAATGACCACTCCAAAAACCTACTTATTTGTGATGGGTGTCTTCAGAGCCTATCCACAGATTTTAAAGATCTATCCCAGACCCTGCTAGGCACAAATATTTTGCCAGGCTGTTGGATTTAATGCTGGACAGAATTTAACTCATTGTGTTTAATATGACAGAAACAAAAGGAAAAAAACAAACTGGAAGGTAAAACAAATATAAATGAAAGAAGGAATAAGAATCCTAGAAAGACGGTGTTGAGGTAGGAGAAGAAAAGTTTTCCTGTTCCACTGTCTTTAAAGGAATAGAAGCAAACCTTAAATACCTCAGTGAATACTACAGTCTTTAAGAAGATCCTCACCTATAAGCTTGTTTTCTTTCACAAAGCATCTGAATTCTGCCCCAGGGATTAATTCACTCCATTTTCGAAGTACAAGCTACAGATGAAAAATATAACATGTCAAACAGGTCTTAAGAGAACTGATTTTTTTTTGTCAACACACATACATTTTGATCCTAAGGTATTTTTCTTAACAGCAAGTACTATCACAGGATACCCTTGACACAAGAGGAAAACCCTGCACAATTGTAAAATGTGTAGTTATCTTGGCAAATGAGCCACATCTCTCTGAAATCTTGTCACCTATTTCTTTATCTGAAAAATACATGTACAAAACAAAAAAGCATGCCTAATACACCATAATTTTACCCATTGGATCTCTCTCCCTGTACTCTGCTAGCATGACACAGATTTCAAATATGAAATGCAATAAACAATCAGAGACAATCACAGTATTTCACAGATATGTACTTGAACCCTGTTTTAAGGATATAGTCTTTGCTATGCAGTTCAAAAGAATAAATCAGTAGCAGTTTATAAGGACTCTGCCATTATTCAGAAATAAACCACTGTTAATGACTGCATGAGATCCTAAATGCAAGATTTACTTACCTAGCTCTATAGGAATGTGAAAAATATGCCATTTCCCACCCTTACTCCAATATTCCTTTTTAATTTTTTTTTTAGCCAAAATTGAATTATATGAATCAGTCATACAGTTTTTCTTGAATTGGGAAGAATATATTTTCTTCAATCACCTGCAATACAAGCTAGCTGAAAATAAAGCAATTCTGTAATGACTTACACGAAAATCAAGTCAACAATAAATGCCTCATTACCCAGACTTTACACTTTCAGTAATATTTTGAATCCGCAAGGCCATTTATGAAGCAGTATTTCATAACTATGCTGCAGATTAAGTTAGTTAGGAAAATGTAAGTATTCTGCTTTCTACCCCTAGCTTTGCATACTGAAAAAAAGATTAAATACCGTGTTAGAGCACAGTGAGAAAACCATCTCTAAATGTGGCATGAATAATGGTTGCCACTCAAGAGCATTTACCAGACATTTAAGAAGTTAAATCAAATGTAAACTAAACACCCACTGCAGCAGGGTACACCAAAAAAGATCCTGCAGTATCTTTTCTGTAAAATCAGCCCCTCACTATAGGGGTGTGTAATAAACTCCATTCTAGTCAAGAATGACGATTGTCCTGTGGTTGAAATAAGTCTGAGTCAGGTGATCCAAGTTTTATTTCTGGCTACTCTATAAACTGTGTGTCCTAAGGCAAGGTATTTAGGTACATTAATTTTGAGTGCTTCAATATCGGAGCACTTCCAGACCTCCAGCCAGATCTTCATACTGGCGACTTTCAACTCTCACTCACTGTAACTAGAATCATGGATGTACATCTCCTTTGAAATTCAGGCCCTCAATGTCCTCACTCGGCCAATCAAAATCTGAACTGCCCAAGTTTCATGGATACTTGAAAATGTGGGCCTCTCCCAGCTTCAGTTATCAAATTTCCAACATTTCCCAAACATGCTGGAGTGGTTTGGGGTTTAAGCATGTTGAGACCATTGACTGTTGGCAGGCACTTTACTTAAATGCAATTTATTATTAGTGCCATGACAAGTTGCTGCTATAAATCCAGCCAAGTTGGTGATCAGTAGTTCAAACCCTTCACAAAGCGTTACTCTCTGGTGGTAAGTCCATTACAGATTTGCTCAGAATAAACATAACCAGGAATAAGTCAATCTCCCCTTTATACATCTCCAGTCTTTGCTCCTCAGATTCCAGGAATAGGTAATAAGCAGACAATGGTTCTCTAAGACCACAACTTCAAAAGGATGGGTCTGGAGGTGGGAATTTGCATTCTCTTCTACTCCAACATATTTCCTAAAAACCAACTTAACTTTATCTTTCTTCTCTGGCACAATGTTTCAAAGTGTATTTTAAACACATAACAATTCCTCAAGTTTACAATGACCATATCTTCCCCATGAAAGTTACATCCTATTCCACAATAATACATAAGTACCTCATTCAATACAATGGACTCCAAAGATACTTAATTCAATGTGCAAAGGGATCACTCAGGCACCATGCTAGATCGGTGGTTCAAATCCAGTAAATTCAACAGTAACCAAGTCATTCTGATTACTTTGTAGTGTAGGCAAAAGGAGTTCATGCCTCTGTTCTGTTCTCAATGGACAGGGTAAAAATACCTCACTTGGCCTTCCCATTGGTGGCCTAAGCTGTAAGGCTAGCGACTAAAATAGGCCATCTAGAAAATGAACAACTCTCAGCCATTCAAGTTTCCCCTCCCAGGTCACAGGTGACACACTCTTGGAAAGTAGCATGGAAAAGCTGGTAGTGCAACTCCTTGCAATGTAGCTGGTGTGTCAGGATAAGCAGAGACACTGTTGTCAGTCTCCACAACTATTAGTCTGGCATTTTTATTTATTTATTTTTACAAGCTCAAAAGTAAAAAGTATGTTATTGGGGTCACCTCAAGCATGAGTGTCAGCCTTCTCAAGGCTAAGATACTTAAATTATCTAGAGCAAGGAGATGAGTCTTACCTCATATTCCAAGCAAGGATCAGGGGTATCATCAGTACAGTATATAAATCTGGAAAAAAATACATTATACTGTCAAAATCTATTGTACATAAATCTGTTTTTACTCAGAGCAAGCATTACAAGCTGGAACCATGCATCATGAAGGCATTGTTAAGCAATTTTTAGAGATTTTTAACCCTAGAAGTAAAAACCCTATATGAGTAAAATACCACTGGCAAATGCCTCTTCCTTGGCACATCTGGGCAGTTCCTCAAATGCCCAAGAAAGATCTTTTATTGTACACTAGAAAATGTATCCAACGTTGCTCAAATCCTTAACTAAATTATTTCTTGTCTTTTGGAAAATAAAATGAAAATACTTCATTTGAATCATTGCTCTGCAGTGAGGCTAGGGATGAGGGGTCCAGTATGCAGCTTGCCCCAGAGAGAGAGGATAACCCCAGCCCTCTCTCACAGCAGCAGCTTGAGGCCAATTGAGAAGTGCAGCTCCAGGGGGCACAACCAGGGGAGAGGTGCATGTCCCAGGATTTTCTGTCCCCAGAGATCTCCAGCCATAACGAGGAATACAGCAAACTGTGCACTTCCAGATGAAGAGGAACAGACAGCAATGTTCATGTACGAATCATGGAGGACGGGAAGTGGGGGAGCTCAACCCCCCCCCATCCTCTATAAAAAGTGCCTGGGTGGTAGAAGGCTTGGGAGTGGGATAGTCCTGGATGCGGATGGGGGGGAGATGAAGGGGAGGCATCCTCAGCCAGCCCCTTCCACCTGCCTGGTGATTCGGTCTCTCTTCTGTATGGTTTTATGAGAAGCAATCCCATTCCACGCTCATCCAAACCTTTACTTTGCTTTAAGTTATAATATGAGGAAGCTGTGGTCCTAGCTCTTACTGCTTAGGAGGATTTTTTGAAAAGAGACACATGCAAATTCTCTCAAATATGTAGTAGATGAAGGAAAAGCTCCACTTGGGCATAAATTTCATAGAGAAGTTGGCATAAGATAGGTTACAAAAAAAATGAAAATTATTTTAAAAAGGAAACTGTCAAATCAGATTTGAGTCAAAGTTAAACTGTACAAGAGCAAACTTTAACAACCAGACAGGTTTCTGTAATTACTCATAACATTTTCATCTAAACTATTGCTTTTTAACAATGGAGAAATGATTAGAACATCAGCATCTTAGCACTAAGAACCTCAAAATGAAACTGACTCTCAAATTGTCATTGACCACACAGAGAAATGGAAGAAAATGAACAGCAAAAAGAATGACAATGGTTTAAGAGTATTAGTAAAACAGAAAAGGATTTGTTTATCGTGGCTGACTGTTATATTGATGGTGCCCCCTCAAAAGATACTTCTTCATCGCCAAGATGTTATTTGGTTGTGATAGCTTCACTTTGCCTGCCTCTTCAATTGTTGTTCTGGCATAATGATGCTTAAACAGAAATAGCACGCACTTTGATGTTCTAGTTTCATTGCAGCAAACGTCTGCAAGTACCCTTCTTTGGTAACTTCCTGACCTAAAGCAATACAACCTTCAGCAAACCAGGTGATAGCGCCATGATTCTTACAGCAACAGCGGGCTACTTTTTCTTTCCTTCAGTGAGGGAAGTAAAGTAATTTAACTTGCCACTGCTTATGCCACAGCATGGCATCTTTTGGGTCAACAACAGCAAGTAATCATTTAGAAGAACAAATTTTAAAAGACCAACAAAACCCAACTCCCCCACCTACCCTTCCCATGTCATTTATACACATTTGCAGACACCATAGTTCCTTGTAAAGTGAGTAGCTGAGCAACTGCGCAGGAAGGAATTAAGACCCACCCACCACATGAGTGGAGCTGCACAGTGTGCCTTCACTAATTAGCTACCTCCTCCTGAGTCCTGAGGCTGTAGATGGTGGGCTTGGTGTGGGGAATAGGAGTGGGGGAAGTCAACAGGAGTATCAGAAGGCAGAGAGAGAGAGTAGACTCAGAGTCCAACTCTCTTAAGGCAGCTCCAGCTGCCATCACTGTGCCTGTCAAAGCAGCAGCTCCTCCTTCTCAGCCAGACCCAGTAGCTGGGCTGTCATCAATGCATGTGCTACCAAATAGAAGCAGCACCCTTCCTCCACTCTCCCTCCCAGGCAATCCCATGTGCTGGTCTGCTTTGACTACAAGGGGGGCAGCTCTCTGGCTCTCTGCCAGCTTCCTATCCCCTCCATACCCTCTGGCAGCCCCATGTGCTGGGCTGCTTTTGAATAAAAGTAGCTGCAGCTCCTTATCCCCTCCTACTCTCTCCACCTCCCAGGCAACCCCATGTGCTAGGCTGCTCTGAATAAGATTGGGGAAGCTCTCTTCCCCCTATCTCTGCACCTCAGGCAGTGCTCCCAGGCCCTGGGCTGCTTTGAGTAAAAGCAACACCTTCCTGTCCCCTCCACCTCTTCCCCAACCAGTAACTCCAGCTGCTTGGCTTCTGTTCAGAGTACAAGGCAGGAAGCACCCATAAAACAGAAAGAGCAATCCAGATCTGAAAATGAGACTGTGTTCACTTGGTGCTAAAATGCTGAAGCTTGCTATCCACCCATGTTACTCAGACATTGCTTAGGTGCAGAAATAAAAATAAATGAATACAAAATGCAGAAGGATTTAATTCCTCAATCTTTCCCCCAGAGCTGAATATCACCAGCTTTGATGAATGGCAAAGCAAATGGTCTGAAAGATTTGAGATGAATAAACAGAACTGAAATATAAAAAACCCCTCCTGTTTCTTGAGTAACAGGGAGCAATATGTGCACATGTGTTCAGAAGTGAGCCCATTAAATAACATTTAGCCAGTAGCTGGAAACAATTTAAAACATCTCTCAACAATCCAACCCATTCCCTGCCAGCTCAGGCCTCAGTGCATTCAACTCTACTTTCCTGGCAAAGACAACAAGCAGACACTTTTTAAATAAGATACTAAATGGATACTGAAAATTTTGTAGTATTGAAAAATTTTGCAACAGCTCTTGTCCATGGGGGGTCTGAGGTCCCTGTGGGCAGAGGCTGCTTGACAGCAGCAGCCCCTGTCCATGTGGGTCCAATATCCCCACAGGCAGAGGCTAATCCATGTCCCATGGAGCAGCCTCTGCCCATGAGGAACCTGGACCTCCAATGAACAGGGACTGCTGCAACCTCACGCTGGTGCCTCTAATATAGAGGCAGCAAAATCTGCACGGAGAGCTGGTTTTAAACTGGCTCTCCTTGCAGACCAGCTCCTGCCTGGCACCCTGTGCTACTCCCTCTGATGGAAAGGCAGCAGCACAGGATGGCAGGGAGCTCCCTGGGAGTGGGACCAGGAGAGAACTGGCTGCCGGCCCCACCCCCAGGGTCTATCAAATAGTTGTGTAACTGCGAAAATTTCATGCGGTTACATGACTATTCAATTACCCGATATCTAACATCCTTATTAATTAGCCCATGTTTTGGTATTCTTTCTTCTTCCATCATATTTTAAAATACACACACAAGGGGGCTGCAACCCCTGCATGCTATGCTCGCTAACCCTCCTCTCTCTGAGGGTAAGCAGCCCCGGCTCTCCGCCCAGCTGCTGGGCCCCCTCAAGGCCAGACCAGTCTCAGCTCTTCTCCCCAGCCACAGGGGAGACTGTGCTGAGCCGAGGCCATAGTAAGCCTGGCTCTCTCCCCCTGGCTGCCAGGGGGTTTGCCTGGGCTGAGGCAGGCCCAGCTCTCTTCCTCCAGCTGTCGGGGACCCCTCCCTCTCAGCCCCCCTGCTGAGAGGCCGACCCAACCCTTGCTCCCCCAGGCCAGCCCTGGCTTTTGGGCCCCCTTCCGGATTGCAGGGAAGAGGGGTTAGAGGGAGGAGGGCCGGGATGAAGTTGTGCCAGGCCTGGCTTTCTCCCTGACTGCTGGGAGGTCCCAGGGCAGGCCTGGCTCTTTCCCCCTCGTCCCCTGGCTACTGAGGAGGGTCCAAGGCCACCCCGGCACTTCCTTTCTAGCCCTCCCTGAGGTCGAGGCTGACCCAGCCCTTGCCCCCCCCCTCCCCTGGCTGGGCCCAGCTCTTGGGTGCACCCCATGCCCTGGGCCCTCCTGTCCCCAGGTCTTTGCTTGCCCCCCCGGCCACTGGTGAGGGTTAGGATTAGGCCGTGCTGGGCCCAGCGCTCTCCCGGGCCACAGGACATGACCTCAATATTGGTGCACGTGCCAAAACTCACTCCAGTCATGAATGGAAAAAACTTAGTGAGAACACTGGCAGACACCAAAGCTTTTCCTCTTGTGAATTAGTCTCTAAGGCTACATCTATGCTGCAAGTTTTTTCCCCGGCAGAAAATATGCTAATGAGGGACTCATTAGTATAAATTGCAACATCATTAACATATTTTCTGCCCGTTTCTTTTTGTGCAAGGGGTTTTTGTGCAAAAAGAAATGACAGAAATTATACTAATGATGTCGCAATTTATGCTAATGAGTCCCTCATTAGCATATTTTCTGCCAAAAAAAACTTGTAGTATAGACAAAGCCTCGTTGCTTCATTCAGGAGCCAGTAAGAATAGAAGCAGTTATCCCAATGCCAGCCATTATGTAATCTCTATATTTTCACCATAGTAATTATGAACATTAGAACATATCCTGTAACTTCCAAAGGAATGACAAAAAAAAAAAAAAGTACAGTAAAAATATTTTTTTTTAATCTGGCATGTTGAGGTGAGGAATGCAGGCTCTGGGAGGAGCTCAGGGAAAGGGTGTGGGACACAGGAGGAGTTTGAGGCTAAGTTCCTGCCATGCAGCTTCCTATAAAGTCCCACTTAGGGGCTCAGGGCTGCAGCAGGAAGAGAGGCCCCTCCCTGCCAGCCCCAGCATGGAGGGGGTGGGGAAGTCGATGAATCCTCTCTCCTATTAGAAATTGCCAAAATGCAGGCTCTGGGAGGAGCTCAGGGAAAGGGTGTGGGACACAGGAGGAGTTTGAGGCTAAGTTCCTGCCATGCAGCTTCCTATAAAGTCCCACTTAGGGGCTCAGGGCTGCAGCAGGAAGAGAGGCCCCTCCCTGCCAGCCCCAGCATGGAGGGGG